TTTCTCTATGAAATCCAAAAGCCTCAGAGCTATATTACTAGCATCTCTGAGTTTCCTTCCAGCTCTAAAAGGCCAAATGACAAGTCTCAGTCTTAACTGGCCAGCCAATGTGTGCCCATAACAGGGAAGAGAAGGACCATGTGCTGCCATGATGAGTACAGCCAACTCCTCACCCTCTAATAACATTCTCTTCCCAACAGCCAGATGATCTTTATAGAAATTCCTCTGGCCATGCCACCTCCTCCACTGAAAGCCCCCAGTGGCTTTGCACTGCACTTAGAATTAAATTCTAACTCCTCAGCTTGGCCCTCAGGGTCACTCATGGACTCACTTCTGCCTTCTCCTTTCCACTCCTTGTACCCTCTCTCCCTCTTAATCACGGAGTTCCAGTCACGTTGGCCATCTGTCCAACTCTTAGAACACACCAGGTTTTTTTCCTCTCCTGGTCCTTGGCTCTTCCTGGTCTGTCAGCCTGAAAGGTATTCTTCTAGCTCTTCCTCATTCTGTATATGTTGGTTTAAATAGCATTCCCTCTAAGAGACTTCCCTTTCAGATTGTTGCCCCTGTTATTTATTCTCTGAGTGCTTTGATTATTTCTATCCTAGCCAATGCACCTCAAGCACAGCCAGCACCCATCTGGCAGTGGTAGATTGCATGTCGCTATGGTGCTGAACAGGTTTCAGCGGAGCTTCCAGACTAAGATGGACTAGAAAGAAAGGCTTGACAGTCTACTTAAGAAAATTGGCCAGCGAAAAACCTGTGGATCACGATGGTTCAATCCCAGTGTGCATGGGGTCGCCATGAGTCAGGGGCTGACTCGACAGCTACTAACAACAACAGCAGTTATCACAGTCTATTATTTTATTGTTTATTACCTCCACTAAAATGTAAGCTCCATGAGGACCTGGACTTTGTATCTGTAGCACAGATACATCTGAAGATAAATTGAATAAGTAAACAACTGAGCTTACAAATAAACCATCACACAGGCACTGTCATGCACACACACATACACTCCTGACTTCTCTTCCCCACAGCTGCATTTCTTCCTCAAGAGGTGTGCACTCACTTTGTCCTTCCCTTGTTTTCTTGTTCCCCACGTGGAGTTCATGTGTGTAATTTCTCATCTATATGCACATATCCACCTTGCTGCCCTCTCCTGTTGCCGTGTCATCTCCTCTTATCACCCCATGCTAGCCCAACGCCCACCGGGAAATGCTCTCCTCCTCCTTCCCTTTTATCTCTCTTCATCTCTTGTCCTAAATGTGCACCAGATCAATCTAATGATGGTGTCAAGTATGAGAGTGCCCATAATACCACCTGTATCTAAGGAACAGAGAACAGGCAAGCTGGGTTTTGAAGGGAAATTGAAATTAAAGGGCCAGTGTTACTTGTGTCTAAAAGCCTTTCTAAAAGCATCCATAAGTTTCCTTCAGATTTTACACAATCTTTTCTGTGTTCAGTCTGTATTTCCTTGTACACCAAACTTAATTTTATAAATTACATCTTACGGAATGGTACTCTTTTCCATCTGTCTTAATTACTAGTTTATCACTGCAGATACACATTATTTTAATTATAAATTAAATTGGCTTTTATGAACCAGTCTGGGAACCTCATCACTGTTTTGTAACAAAGCTTCTATTGAAAAATGTGTTCTCGGTCCCCCAAAAAGGAACTTACAGATGAACTTTGGTGTCATTTTAGGTTTACCAGTGGTGAGTTCTGAAGGGCCGTGTCACCAAAAATAAGACCTCCACTGCAGTGTGGTGTTAAATAGAAACATTTCTCTCTTGCCACACACTTGTCAAAAATAGGTGTTGAAGCAACCTAAAGAACTCTTCCTGTTTACTTCAGGCAGAATTCAAGTGTACCATTCCAAACCAACCGCTAACTATAGACAGGCAGGTTAGAACAGAGAATTCAGTCTCTGGAACCAAGGAGATCTCAGTTCGAATCCCAGCTCCACCACTTTCTAGCCGTGTGACCAGGGCATGTTACTTAGCCTCATTAACAACCCACATTTTCCTCAACTGTAATATCCAAAACCCGCTGCCATTGAGTTGATTCTGACTCATAGTGACCCCATAGGGTTTCCAAGGCTGTAAACCTCTATGGAAGCACACTGCCACATCTTTCTCCCGAGGAGCCACTGATGGTTTTGAACCACTGAACTTTTGGTTGGCAGTTGATCATTTTAACCATGGTGTGCCAAGGCTCTGTGATATAAGGGTAGTTATTTTAACTAAAACCAAACCCATTGCCATTGAGTCTATTCTGACTCATAGCAACCTATAGAACAGAGTAGAACTGCCCCGTAGGGTTTCCAAGGAGCTTCTGGTGGATTCGAACTGCCAACTTTTTGGTTAGCAGCCGAACTGTTAACCGCTATTTCACCAGGGCTCCAATTTTAACTACTTAGTAGCATTGCTGGGAGGATTTATGGATACTGCTTCCCGAGTATGTAGCGCTGGCAACATCATCATCATTATCAAAGTGGTAAGCTGGAAGGGACCCTAGTAAGACGGTTGCTCAACAGGTAGTCATTTGGCATCAGCCCTGTGCCAGACACTCTGCTAAGCACTGGGGCTACATCAGTACATCTGCCGGCACACAGCTTACTGTGCTGGGAAAATTTTATTAGCAGGCCATTAAAATTCGTCATAATGAGCACTGATTAAAATTGTATAAAATTATATTTTAAAAATTTATTCAAAAGTACATTTTGCTAGGCCTTCTTAACACCAGATAAATTTAGTGAATCATCAAATCAGACTAATCATTGTTTCTTTCCTCATATAGTTCCCCCCACCTAAGTGTAGAAAGGTCTACAGTGATGTGTGTGTTTATATATTTATCTATATATATTTCATATACACACACACACACACACACACACACACACACACATATATATATATATTTACGTATCAAGCCCTGGTGGCACAATGGTTAAGTACTCGGCTGCTAACTGAAAGGTTGGTGGTTCCAACCCACCAGTGACCCCTTGAGAGAACGACCTGGCAATCTGTTCCTGTAAAGATTACAGCCTAGAAAACTCTGTGGGGCAGGTCTTCTCTGCCACATGGGGTCACTATGAGTTGGAATTAACAGCACACAACAACAACTATATATATATGTATATAAATATATATATAGATACACACACACACATACATACACGCATATTTGCTGTTTCTCCTTAGCACTACAAACTTAGTGATGGATAAAGTGATCAGATCCCTTCTTAGAAACTCCCTAAGGAAAACCCCTTTATGCTTCATGGTTAATTATTTTGGCAAAAATGATAACATAAGGAGGTTAATAGCTCTCATTAATCTTAAGGCTGGGTTAAAACTCCTTCAAGTGTTATATTGCCAGATTCTTGGAAAGTCCCACTAATCATTAGTCAAGAATACATTTGACGTCATTGACAAATGTGTGTGTGTGTGTGTGTGTGTGTGTGTGTATGTGTGTGTGTACCTAAGTGTAGGCTTAGCCTTGGCTGGAAGTTTATTCTACTTCTATCAGCCTAGATTTCGGAGAAAAATAGGATGGCAAAAAGTTTGTCCTCTGTGGTCTTACAGCTCACTTGGCTGCAGCAGCAAGCAGCTGAAATCATAGCCCATGAGGGAACCATTAGCCTCTGGCCTGCAACCACGGGCTGTACCCCTAGCCCCAGCCAACATGCTCGCAAATGCAAGGTGAGAGCCTGCCTGAAAGGGCAGCCTCACAACCGGAAAAGCTGTGTGCAGGCTCTGCTAACGGGGTGGGGGTGGGGGGCAGTAGCTTCACCTTTCTTCCCAAGTCCTCATTTCCTCCAAAGACACTGGTAAACTCAGTAGCCATCTGTTTTTCACACGGGTCCTGCAGGGACCCATGACCCCTAGTTGTGTCACACAGTTTTGCCTGCCCGGAGAACCACGTCCTTTTGTAACCTGAGCCACTTTTGGGTGTAACTCACAGAAATGAACTACCTTGAACCGAACAGGACCCCTCTCTGTTATCAAGCCCCCTTTTAGCTAGCAGCAGTATGGTGTGAGGAAAGAAGGGGGCTTCACAGTCAGGTTCAATACTGACCATCCTACTTATTTGTTAGGAGGGCTTGGGAAAATTATAATCTCCCTGATCCTTAATTTCTTCATCTGTATCATGGAGCTAATAATGGTTATTAGGGGTAGACTATCCAATAAGCAAGGTAAGCACTGTGCTTACCTTGTTTACCAGATCATCTGTAGTGAACAATTTCACATGAGCTTCACCACAGCAAAGATCAAAACCCATGTGAAATTGTTCACTAAAGATTAGTAAGTAAGCATAGGTAA